CCTTGTTCGGCTGCAGTAATGGAACCTGGCAGCCTGTCAATGGCTAAGAGATTAACCAAAGATATACGTGGTGGCTGGACCTCTTTAGGACAACTCTGGCTATGACTTACTGCTGCAGTTCTTGCACTTAAAAGGAGAAGGCACAAGATTTTAAGAATCAGACTGTTCCGACCATTCTCCCCAGACTGAGAATGTTTTCCTGGAATCCTGCTGTCCAGAATGTGGACAGGATATGTGTTCCTCTCCTTTCTTATCACTTCTGAATATTGCTGATAAAGGAGCTGCCTATTCCCTGAAAGGAAAAAAACTATCTGTGAATAACCTTTTCCCTCTGCCGTGCCCTTCTGCACTGGAGCTATTAAAGCTTCAGCTGGATTGTTTGGCTGCATTTGATAACTGTAAGTGAAAGACACCAGGAAAAATTGTTGCTGAAGGGCTATTATATCATGCAAGCAAATTGCAGCGAGGCTACCATGAGAATGCTGTGATTTAAGACAAAGTTCAGAAATTATTTCTTCTTCTTCCTCCTTTCTCTTTTTCAAAGTCCTAAAACGAGCCTTTCCGTGCAAGAAAGGATCTCAAAGGGATGGATATGACACTGTCATTTCCTGCAAAAGAAAATTATCTCCTTGACTATTGTTTTTTTTATTCCCAGCAATGTCACCTTATTCTGGAATGTGACTCTCTCACTCAGGAAACCTAGCATCTAGAAATGGCAACAGGATTCAGAGGTGAATACTAGGGAGCTTCAGGCTACGTCTCCAGCTAATCCTGTAGATTTGTTAAATGTTGCTGTGGGGCAGCTCAGCTCCTGAATGCTCTGGAGTTGAGTCAGGCTAGGAAACAGGAAGGTCTGGGGCTGTGTCTCCCCACTTCCTCTTAGTTTCAGAAAAAAAAGCAAACTAATGGACTTGTTTTTTTCCTCTGTGGAATTTGACCTCTGAATCCCGAAATTACTGTTGAAGATCAACTGCAAGGGACAAACATTTTGGAGAGAGAGGTGGGCCCATTGTATCTGCAATAGATATATGAGGGAATGGTGATGCCCTGAGCAGCATGAGGGGGAGAAGGAGCCTCTATCCTGTTAGCACACTTCTGCCAACCCCATAAATCTAAGTCGAAGAGCCTGTAGATAATGGTGATGTTGCAAAGGCTGACAGGTAAGAAAAGGGTTGTGAGAAAATAAAAATCACTTTTCAAGAAGTCAGAGGAAATAAAAGACCAGAATAATAAAAGACCCTCTCCTCAGCCCTGGTGAGGCCTCACCTGGAGTACTGTGTCCAGTTCTGGGCTCCCCAGTACAAGAGAGACATGGCACTGCTGGAGAGAGTCCAGCGGAGGGCTACCAAGATGATTAGAGGGCTGGAGCACCTCTCCTAGGAAGAAAGACTGCAAGAGCTGGGCCTGTTCAGCCTGGAGAAGAGAAGATTGAGAGGGGATCTCATCAACGTGTACAAGTATCTGCAGGGGGAGTGTCAAGAGGATGAAGCCAGCCTCTTCTCCGTGGTGCCCAGCAACAGGACAAGAGGCAATGGGCAGAAACTGAACCACAGGAAGTTCCATCTGAACCTGAGAAAAAACTTCTTCACTGTGAGGGTGACTGAGCATTGGAACAGGTTGCCCAGAGAGGTGGTGGAGTCTCCTTCGCTGGAGATATTCAAAAGCCGTCTGGATGTGATCCTGGGCAATATGCTCTAGGTGACCCTGCTTGAGCAGGGAGGTTGGACTAGATGATCTCCAGAGGTCCCTTCCAACCTAAACGATTCTGTGATTCTGTGATTCTGTAATTCTTTCTACTCATTTTCCATCTTGTGTAGGGTTTTCTCATCTTTATAACAAATCAAGGGTACTTCAGCATTTGTGAGAGTGGATTTGACCATGAGCCAGCAATGTGCCCTTGTGGCCAGGAAGGCCAATGGTATCCTGAGTTGCATTAGGAAGAATGTTGCCAGCAGGTCAAGGGAGGTGATCCTCCCTCTCTACTCAGTCCTGGTGAGGCCTCACCTGAAGTACTGTGTCCGGTTCTGGGCTCCCCAATACAAGAGAGACATGGAGCTCTTGGAGTGAGTCCAGCGCAGGGCTACTAAGATGATTAAGGGACTGGAGCATTTCTCCTATGAGGAAAGGCTGAGGGAGCTGGGCCTGTTCAGCCTGGAAAACAGAAGACTAAGGGGGGATCTGATCAATGTGTACAAGTATCTGAAGGGACGGTGTCGAGAGGATGGGGCCAGACTCTTCTCCGTGGTGCCCAGCAACAGGACAAGAGGCAACGGGCACAAACTGAAACACAGGAAGGTCCATCTGAACATGAGGAAAAACTTCTTTCCTGTGAGGGTGACAGAGCTCTGGAACAGGTTGCCCAGAGAGGTTGTGGAGTCTCCTTCCTTGGAGATATTCAAAACCCGCCTGGACGCGATCCTGGGAAATATGCTCTAGCTGACCCTGCTTGAGCAGTGGAGTTGGACTAGATCATCTCCAGAGGTCCCTTCCAACCTCAATCACTCTGTGATTCTATGATTTGAATAGCCTTCTCTATTACTTTGTCTGCACATCCACTGACAGCAGACTTAGCCCTGTCACAGAACCTGAGGTCTGAATATTTCCTAAACACTGGAGATGTTACATCTGCAGCTACATTTCCCAAGAAAACAGATTTCTTCTATTTGGCAAAAAGGGGTGATTTTCTATGCCCTCTGTATTTTTATGTCAGCTCTGAAGGAATAATTAGAAGACCTGAAAACTTTGAAAATGTGAGGTTAAAACCCTGGGATAATCATCTGCCTTGTAGTTAGTGTGTGTATATTATGTGGTTTGTGGTTGAAGATTCCCATAAAAGAATGGTTGGTAGAAGCATTCAGGATTTCCATTTTTTTTAAATATTCCCTTTCTGAACATGTTTGTGGGGTCATGGAAAATGTGGATTTTGATTTGTAGCAATTATTTTAATTCTGGAATAGATTTTGATCTCTATCCAGTATCTAAGAGGCAATGTGTTATTATCACATGTAATAAGAGACTGAGGTACAGGAGCGCTGGGGAAGGAGAAAAGGGTTTTATGTGCTGGTATCTATCAGATGACAAGGTCAAGGTGACAAAAGTCACGTAAGAGTCAGGGTCACCACTGCCAGTAGTAACCTTACATCTGAGCACAATCTACTAATTATTTGGGCATTTTTTAATAAGTTCTCCCAGGCTCCCCTGCCTTGTAGCTGAAGGACCAGGAACAGAGAGACAAGGGTCCCTCAGATCCCAGCTTTGACTTTGACAGAAATCTGAGCCAGAATGTTTTTAATCTGATGTATTAGGCTCATTGAACCGGCCTTTTGTGGCAGACCAGCATGTCTTACTTGGCCTGTAGACAGCATATGAATTCCATGACCAGTTTTTATGAGGTCTCTAACAGTGCAAAGTCAAGGAATTTGTTTCAAGGTCCAGAGGTGAAATTAACTGGGACTGCTCTTGGCTTCAGGCTGCAATCATATGGAGCCTGTAGGCCGGATTGGTCTCTTAGATGACAAAGACAAACCCAGAGACAGCAATAACAAGGCAGCATCAATCCTATGTTCATATCAGTCCCTCTCCAGTCCCTACACCAGATTCTCTGTGGAAACACTGCTTATGCAGTTATGCTGCCAGTGTATGCATCCAAATATTTCCAGCACCCACTGGCTGTTTTCAGGCCAAATTGTTGGATGGGGAGAAAGTCTTGGGAAAATATGTATCTGGTTAGAAGAGAGACCTGATTATGCCCTACTAATGGGAAAAGTTACAAGGGAACTCCAGAAGACAACTTTGACTACAGAGAAATTGTCACCAGAAATTTTGCTCATAGTAAATCAGGCTCACTTAGTTCTAGTCCTCCTAGAATGACATTTAATTTTTTTTTTTTGCTATTTACCATTCAAAACGCTAATCTTTAGGGAAGATGCATGGATGATGTAGGTGCAAAGCACCCAGAAAAAATCCTGTGAAGAGACTGGATGGCTGGGGAGCCATTTATAGAAAAGCAGGAGCTAGAACAGCAGCACACTGAGGTATCTGAGGTATTTACCCTTGTGCAGGTATAAGAAGAAAGAGAAAAGTAAACACTGCCCTGCAAGATCACCAACACATTCAGCTGGGTGTAAAGTTGAGGTGTCTGTCACCAGTGAAATGAGTATTGCTCCATGAATATCTTTAACCTGCTGATGTCTGTTAGTCTTATCCATTCAGAAGCACCACATGTTGTAGGTATAAGGGGTAGGCACAAGAATTCATCTTGCAGCCTGTGTTTCCTATCAGCATCTCTACTTTTCTTGTTTTCCTCACTGATCAAGTAAGTTTACCTCAAGTGAACAACTAGTTGTCTTTAACATGGTTTAATGAGCTGTCCCTGTATTCCATCTCAGGAGTCTAAATATTTACTGGTCTGTGTTTAGTCAGAAAAATGCAATTCAATCCACTTAGCACTCACCTTGCACTAAAATTTTCAGCCTTTCCTTCTTGAGTTTCCAAAGTGAAGCTTATAGCTGGGGTGATGATTTACCCAAAACCTAGTTAAGAAAATTGAAAGGCTTATAGTGATCTTAATATGCTTAAGAAAAAGCAAAAATAACCAAATATATGCTTAAGAAAAAACAAAAATAACCAGGAAAAATATAATATTATCATAAATTAAAAAAAAAAGGGATCTAACCTTGAGACTTTTTTCCTTTTCTTTTTGCCAGGGTTGAACTGGAGGACTGCAAAGTCAGGCATCTCAGAAATTATAATTGTAGTGATAGTTATAGTTTCACATTTCTCTTAGTTGTAGTGTTCTATATAAAACTGTACATAAAAGTCTTCAATTTTTTTAAAACAAAGTGGTCTATGAAAAGGCAAAGATTCAAACAGCAGTAGGCTGTTTTCACTGAGCTAGAAAAAAAGCTAACCAGCTGAGACATATTACTAATTATCAGACATGAACAAGCAACCAAGAGACTGTAAAGAACCCACCCCCAGAGAAACTGCTTTTATGCCAATTAATCTCAACATGTTTTAATTAAGATTTTTAATTCTGCAGTACAGCGAGAAAATAAAGTTGAATGTAATGCAAATAACATGTCAAGATGTGCTCTATCAGTATAATTCTGTAATAATTCATAAACTCTAGGTTACCTAACACTACTTAAGTTTGTATGTTAGACGTAATTCAATCATATTCTACTATAGACCTAAAGTTCAAAGGTTACAGTCATTGCTTACAACAGGTATATTTAGATTTGCTTCCTAAGGAATTCAATACCTTTGTTTGCCTGAATGCTGTATAATCTTAACTATGAGTTGGCTAGCATGCAGCTAAAGGGAGGCTTTATACTCTTGCCAAATATTTATGTAGACATCCATGAAACTGTAATGATGTGTGCACCACCTTTGCAATGACCAAAAATTAGTTATTTTTATCATGTGTGGATGAGCTTGTGGGTGAGTTTGTAGAGGATACTTAAGAGTTTTACTTGCCAAAAGGAATCTCACTAATCATAACATTTTCATTACTAGTGATCATGCACTTGGAGCTCTCTTTCCTTTACCTTTAAAAGTAGCTGTAGCGTTATTTCTAGTACAGCTAGATGTCCCTGTACAGGGTGAGGGGACAGTCATTCTCTTAAGTCAGACAGTTGAGATGGGAGTATAAAAGCTGGAAATAACTTGTTTTGTTTTTCTATTTAGCCCTGATGATTTTATTAGCATGAGTCATTTTTATTAAAATGCTAATACTTATGGTTAGCAGCATGATGGACCTCGTGGCAGATAGAAATGTTTCATGAAATGGCAGTCTCTGTTCTGTTTTGGAATAAGAGGACAGGCAGGCCAATATAGAATAATGGAAATGCTTCTGTTGCTTACACCCCATATGCTCAACACTGCGTTTGGTTTAGCATTTGTCCTACAGTATGCAATGAAACTATAGGCCTGAGATTTCACTGCTTTGATCTTCAGCTGACTTCAGCTGGCAGATCTGTGTGAACTTCACCGCTCTTTCAGTTTATACCCGAGGAAAGGCAGTGTGGGGGTCTGAATCAGTACATCAGTATGCATTTTGATTCTCTGTTATCACTAGCATTAAAGTAGTACCTATAAGCCCAACATCTTAAAGTTTGGCTCTCCACGTAATTAGAGTTACTATTTGGTTTGAGAGCTGTAATTTACCAGGGGCCCCTGTCAGGTCTAAGATTCCTTCAGATCTGAGCTTGCAGCTCAGGTTCCACCAGTTTGGCCCATTCAGCATTGTAGGGGTGAATAAGATGTGTCGAATGCTCTTGCTTGTCTACCATCGGCTTTCTTTCTCTGGCCCATTTTGCCAGCCCTCCTTTTGCATTATAAATCTTCATAAAAGGCTTGAGTTTTTGGCCTTGTTTACTAGACAAGAACTCATTCAGGCTCTGAGCTGTCATGGAAGCTCTGTATCCCACAGTGCAATAGCAAACTACACGTTTCTGTTGTTCAGGTTCTGAAATAGAAAAAGAAAAAGTGTAAATAGAAGTGAAATTAAAATTTATTGACCGGCTACCAAATCTATAAAAACACCCTACTTGCTAGTCTGGTGTAGCTAAATCCAAACAATCTAAACCTAGACATCCAAAATTTACATTACATAGTGTCCTTGTGTGTGGTGAAGGAAGTCTTATTTAGTTCTTGAGCTTTCAGGCTATAGCTGGGGGAAGGAGGGTGTCACATTTTCAAATCTCTGTTCTCAACTGTGGTGCTAGGAAACTTCCTTATTTAAAAAAAAAAAAATTATATTCTCATGTAAGGAAAATGTTTGTTACCATGCCAGCTGGCAGAACTGCTAGTCTGTTGTAATTATTAAGAATAATGCACCCATCTGTAGTTTGAGTGAGGATCGCTATTAGCTTAAGCACCAAATTAACCATTTGTTTCTTACTCACTGAATACAGCCAAAACATATTACAGAATAGAGGGGATATATTTTTCATGAATTTCAAATTCATG